AAAAGTTCCCATGCCCTTAACCTTAGTGTAGACTTTCTTGTCTTTTTTGTATTTTTGAAACATGGCATTGGTTGTTCATTTTTGTTTTATGCACTGAAACTTATAGAATAATCTATGGCAAACAATTGACATACAGTTTGCATGATCACAGGGCTGTTTTAGACCACTCTGTTGGAAAGGAGCTTCCAGTGGTCGCTGTAGAAAGTTTTGAATGCCTACCTGGTAGGGGAGTTGCTGCTACTTTGAGTGGGGTGAAGGTACGTCTAACTTCTATAATATTTTTCAATCATCAAAATCATCTGGAATTGTCAGATATGTCACAGACCTTGCTTTAGATAAAATTCAGGTGTATTACTGGAAACACCATTGGCATTTAATGTATACTGTAGGCGGAAACACTCTTGTAGTGTAGCAGTAAGCTCCCTAGTTTTGGGAGACAAAAATGTCCCCTGTTGGCAGCCAAAAAATAGTGGTATGGCGCTGGCCTGTGGCGTCTGTAGTTGGTTTGGGCCCTCATAATAGTTGCAGTGGTCGGCAGCCCAGGTTAAGGTGAGGCCCTATAGGGTGAAGCCGGGGTTCAGGGGTTTTCTTGGTTCGTTTGACCGAGAGATTCAGTTCAATACCGTGGGGGCAGTCTTTCCCCACCGGCCAAGTTCTTTATACTGTAGACAGCATATGTTTCATCCAATGGATGCAATGTAGTTCAGTAGCTATCATATTCTTCAATAGGGGCGTGTTTTAGATTTTGATAAGTTAGCATGGTTGTTATTTAGTGTTTGGTCACTATGAAGGAATTGGAAGAGCCAGCCTTTGACATGCTAACTTGAGTACTTGACACCTCATACATTTGCATTACAGGTAAGAGAAAATGAAAATGAGCTATCCGAGGCATCTATCGGTTCTGTGGACTATATTTCTTCACTATATAGATCCAATGGTGAATCAGAGCAAATAAGAGCAGCAGTGAAAAGTTCTGCATATGGGCCTGAATTTGTCCAAGCTGCTCTATCTGTTGACAAAAAAGTAAGTTAACTTGAGAACCAAACTCTTTCTTCTTTCATGTATCTGGCCATGTATTTTCAGCGCGTGTTCAGTTCCACCCCAAATTCCCAAAAAGTGCTACAGTACCTATCACATTGAATGTTTGCGGCCCGTGCATGGAGTATTAAATGTAGACGAAAAAAAAACTAATTGCATAGTTTGGTGGGAAATTACGAGACGAACGTTTTGAGCCTAATTAGTCCATGATTGAACACTAATTGCCAAATAAAAACGAAAAGTGCTACAGTAGCCCCAAATTCCAACTTTCTGGAACTAAACACGCTCTCATTCTAGTCCACCTAAGCGACAAACCAGCATGGCCCCATGTATCCACTGCACAGTCAAAACCATAAGCACTAGGTGGTCCGTGGTCCAGATTCTAGTGTTTGGTCCATCTGAATAGCCTGCCTATTCTGAAGCTTGTTCAGTAGGTGCCCTGATAATTTGAATCTGATGATTTGGGCTTGTTTGGATACTAGCCTTCTTTGAGTTCTACTTAGAAGTTAGAACCTTTGAACTTGCTCCTGTTTAAGTGAAGCTGACCTTAGTTTGCTTTGCATAGTCATAATCATTACCTTACCTTGTTTGGCCGGCCCACTCACTGGCAAGATTGCAAGAAGGCTGTACAAGTGACAAGTGACTGTATCAAGGCATACTTCTACTCATGATTTTGCTAACCCCCCCCCTCTTCTGACCAAACAGTACACATATTTGAATTGTTATCATGATTTGAGTCTTGTGTTTTGCAAGAACTAGTTTTTCAGTGTATTATATATCAACTGATTTAAACTTTTCCAGGTAACTCTTTTTCACTTTGAGGATGAACCCCGCTCTGGTGTTTGTGAAGTTATATCTACCTTAAGAGAGAAAGCTAAACTTCGCATTATGATGCTTACTGGAGACCATGAATCAAGTGCCCATAGAGTTGCTAAATGTGTTTGTATTGAAGAAGTCCACTTCTCTTTAAAGCCAGAGGATAAATTAAATAAAGTAAAAGCAGTTTCAAGGGAAGGAGGTATTTACCTGTGATATGTATGCCTGTCAAAAGTCAACTATATGATTATATCATGGCTTTAAGTTTTACATATGTTATCTAAGTATGAACTTATATAGCTTTAGCCTTTAATCCTGCAATGTGGTAGCCACGGTTGCTTTCTAAGTGCTCCTATGTACTTCCTCACCACATGACTTGATCTAACAAAATCATTGGTAGTTTTCTTCATAGTTTTCACTTCTCATGCTGCATGAATCTATTGATCCCAACAATTTTGTTCCTACTTCAGTTTATTTTCTGGACATAAGCAACCTGCCAGACATTTACAGAATCCTACCTTTTGTCCATGACTAAGGGCCTGTTCGGCAGGACTGAAAAATACTGTTCCGGCTGATTGTTGTGAGAGAAAAATACTGTTCTGGCAGGACATGAACAGTGATTTCATGAGAGAAAAAACAAGCCAGCCGGTTGGCTTAAAGCCAGCCGAACAAGCCCTAAATGTTCCTTGTGTACAATTAAACTGTAAAATTGAACATCATTACTTTTTGTTGTGCTCACTTTCCTGCCGATTATTCATTATGTACCTTTTTGTTTGTTTCCAGGTGGAGGTTTAATAATGGTTGGTGATGGTATAAATGATGCACCAGCTCTTGCAGCCGCAACAGTTGGAATGGTTCTAGCTCAACGTGCCAGTGCAACTGCAGTGGCTGTTGCAGATGTTCTGTTGTTGCAGGATAATATTTGCGGGGTGCCATTTTGCATTGCTAAGGCTCGTCAAACAACTTCATTGGTATGGTCTTTTCTTTGCTTGTGTGACACTTTAGTTTCAGATGCAATATTACTGTTTCTTACACTTTTAGGTTATCCTTACAGGTCAAACAAAGTGTAGCTCTGGCCTTAACTTGTATTGTTTTTGCTGCGCTTCCTTCTGTCCTGGGATTTCTTCCTCTTTGGTTGACTGTAAGTTCCTTTTCATGACCTAGACTTGTGTTTGTGTAACTAGGAAATTTAACAAATTGTTCAAGTGCCCTGAACCCTATTTGTCCTTTGTGGCACACGGAATTAGTAAATTGTAGAGTTGGAATAAATGCACTCTTTACAGATATGCATTTGTAGCGTAACAGAGTGGTAAATTCACTTTCTACACAAACAGGAGAGTCCAGTTCCCACTTATTGGATGGATTCTTTGTAAATATTTCCCTTATGTTTTTCCTAGCCCATGGTCCTTTTATGAGCCTTAAGATGGCCAGAAAAAAAAGAGCAAAATGCAAAATTGTAGTGACAGTTCCATTTTACTGGATGTGTTGAGCACCATCACTACTGTTGTTATCATGTGATTCGCATACATAATCCTTTCTTTGGCGTCCTTATTTCTACATGTGCTACAATTTTCAGGTACTTCTTCATGAAGGAGGAACCCTTCTAGTGTGCTTGAACTCGATACGAGCCCTGAACGCTCCGACATGGTCCTTGGTAGATGACATCCGGCAGCTCGTTTATGGCTTGAGGAATTATTTCTCATCCAAGTTCAACAGCTCTTCCTCAAACTACGTCGCAAACACTGTACCCTTGTAGATTACCATGTACAGCAACGGTTGCCTTTTCTTACCTTCTTTGTGTGGCACCGTTTGAATTTAGGCGAGGGGTTCTAACTTAATTTTTGTAGGCTCTGTACTCTTATCACCACCATGTAAAGAAGAAATTTGGCTTCAGGTTGAGCTGAAAGTCAAAAGCCAGTGATGAACATCCTGTTACGATGTGGCGTAGAAGCATCATTTGTTGGGCACGTTCGTTATGGAATACATTCAGGTGCATCCGTGCAGGTGCTGTACCACTGTTGAGATCAGGGAAGTCTAATCGCCTATTTCTTGCCTGCAGAAGCTATAGACTCTGCTGTTCTGAGGTCGATTGATTGGTTTATTGTTGATTGTCCACTTGCCCAGTCAGCATCGGCCGTCAGAAACGCGTGTCTTATAAGTAACTCCATAGAAGATTATCCCCTGGGATGCAGAAATTGCAGTGCCGCTGCACACCAGCTATATATATATATATATATATAGAGAGAGAGAGAGAGAGAGAGAGAGAGATTTTTAGCCTAAATCTTCTTTCCCTGTCGAATCGTTGAATGTTCGCCGGCCGTCCGCCGTTGCACGCGGACTCTCTTCTTCTCATTTGGGTCAACTCCTGCTTAAACCAAAAAAACCTGTGGCAAAGAGGACCGATTACATTTCTCCTGAGTTTGTGTGTAGTATTAGCCAAGACCATCGCGTGTAGTAGTACGTATTAGTCACCGTCCATGCATGCTGCACAAAGTCAATCTTCTCGATACCTCCTAGAGACGATCAAAGGCAACCTCGCTGAATGTTTTTAACCACTAGCTAGCTCTGTCCATTTGCCTACCGATCCAGCTAGTCAAGTCGCCGCAAGAAACATTGACGTACATGCCTATGTAGTTGCGAGAAATCGTACTGCCAAACAGCCACAAAATCCTCACCAGTTGACTAAATTTTGACCTACGTTCTACGCCTCACGCACGGCTATACGGCTATGCTGTAGCGAGTAGCGACAGGTAATTCCGGTATCCAACACCCGCCCATGCAACGGAGAAACTCAGCCTTTCATCATTGTTAAAAAAGACAGAAGATAAAGAGAATCAGTTTTTCCTCTGACCAAAGCACTAGTTTCGCCGCATCCATCTAGAGTTTCCAACAATTTCCTCCTCCGTGTCGGACCAAAACTTTTCTCCTGGGTTTTCCCTTCAGTAGGCACCAGGCAGTCAGGCACGACTTTCCACTCCCGTGCTCGTGCACATATTGACATATATACTGCCCGCTCTTCCTATAAATACCCTCTGTTCAGCAACGCCACTTGTGCACCAAGAACAACACTACAGCACCCGGCGGCCACCTCTTCTCTCTAGTAGAGCCAAATAGGAAGAGCTGTTAGTTGCTTTCGCCTTTCGGCCATGGCGAAGGCTGCTGCCGTCGTTCTGCTCGTCGCCGCCCTGCTTGGCTGCCTTGTCTCGGCGTCCCTCGCCGACCAGGGCACCGCCACCTACTACGGCCCCGTCTACACTCGTGCGTCGCTCGCTCTAGCCGCCGGCCGGCCATCATCACATGCATCATGAATATATCACGTTGTTTTCTGAATTAACACATGCGTCCGTGGTGCGTTCTGCACGCAGCGTCGGCGTGCTACGGATACCAGGACGAGGGCACGATGATCGCGGCGGCGAGCGACGGGCTCTGGGACAACGGCGCGGCGTGCGGGCGGATGTACCAGGTGTCCTGCGCCGGCGGCACCAACGCCACCCCGAACCCCTGCAAAGGCGGCAGCGTCACCGTCAAGATCGTCGACCGCTGCCCGTCGCCGGGATGCCAGGCCACGCTCGACCTCTCCCAGGAGGCCTTCAACACCATCGGCAACCTCGACGCCGGCAAGATCCTCATCAACTACAACCAGTACGCACGCGCCACGCGCGCGGTTCACCATATCTTCTTCCCCTGTTCAGTGTTCACCCGGGGGTGTTTTTTGTTTAATTTCTTTTTGACACATCAATAAATATTCGTGTTGTTTTGCAGGGTGTAATTAAAAGAGCAGGCAAAGCACAAAAAGGATCTAGTAGCTATATATGGCCTTCATGATTATGTCAGGAATAAGTTGTGTAATAATAAACAACAAATACGTCGTGCCTAATAGCTAGAATAAAACCATGGTGTACCTTTATTAATAATTTGGATGGATGCAGCTCTCCTGCTTCTTGTGTGTTCGAAAAAGGAAAAGAATAATGCAGTTTGTAATATTATTTGATACCAAATGAATAAATTGGGTGTATATATACACAATCTTGTTCAAACATTGCTATATATCTTTATTGGATGATTTTTTGTACTCCCGCTCTTTCAAATTATAAGTCACTTTGACTTCGCCATCTCTAACATTGACACATTAAACTTTATAGAAATATACATTGAAACATCTACAATACAAAATAAGTGCACTCTTAATAAGACATGGAATGGTAGAATAAATGAAACTAATTTGGTGTTGTAAATGTTAGTATATTTTTCTATAGACTTGGTCAAACTAGATAAGTTTGACTAAGGACAAAACCTAAACGACTTATAATTTGAAATGGAGGGAGTAGTAATTTGCACCAAAACATCGAACAATAGAATATTGCTTTATTTAATGCACCATCAGGAGCTCTGCCTTTCAATTAAGTAAAAAGAGTTGACCCGGTTTATAAAGAAATCTAGGCATGAAAACCTTACACTTGCATGGTTAATTAAAGGAAAACCAGCAGAAAAACGCTAACGTCAACGGCATGGCCAAAATGACCAACCCAAAACGTCAGAGCCTGCTGGAAGTTATTGTTGTCGAGGTCGAAAACATAGCCAAGCAGCTTCAACTTCACCTGCGTGGAAAACTAACACTGCTCTAAAGAGATTGTTGAGCGTCATCGTTGTCGAGCTATGCCAAACCCAAGAACATAGCAACTCCGACTTCACCGTAGCAAACTCTTTCAAGCAAGTCAAGCATCCTTGCATGGTGCTGCATGAGAGTGCCAAGAGGCAACTTGTGAACAAGACCTTCGAAACGACCCCATAAGGAAGGATGCATCGTCGGGAGCACTGCCATCGCTCGTCTAGGATGTGGATAGGGCTTTCACCTGAAGAGCCTTGCAAAGTCGGAGGGATCGAGGGCAACTCAATGATGCCCCAACAGGAAGAGCAGCGCCGTCATTGGCTCTCGCCACGCCGACCAAGTCCTAAACCCGAGCCATCCATCCACACCCGCTGCATTGAAGTGTGACATGCCAAGAGGATCATCCATGAAGCCATGGATGTGCGCAACCCGCCAACACCACCACGCAGCGCCAAACCAAGACCCATGCTGAGTTGCCATTGTCATCGATGTCGCCCAAAGGCACAGTTAAGGTTACACCTCAGCCGCCGCTTGACGCTAGCCATGCCGACCCATCGCGCGGTCGGCGCCCTTAACTATATCTTCATTGGCTGCTTTCTTATATTCCAAATTATAAGGCCTTGCTTGGAACCATTACCTGCTAATAGTTGGCTAGCTAATAGCTCATAGCTAATATTAGCTAGCTAACTATTAGCTGCTTTGATTCAACTAGTGATGTAGTTGTTAGTTAGACATTCAACTAACCATTATCTAGACTATTAGCTAGACCCATTTGGATCCAAAGAAGCTAATTATTAACAACTAACTATTAGCTCTGTAGATCCAAACATGACCTAATTAAGTCATTTTGGCTTTATCATCTCTAACATTGACAAGTTTATTTATAGAAATATATATTGACATATTGAATAATGGATTGAATGAAACTAATTTGGTGTTGTAAATAATGTTAGTACTTTTTTAAAGATTTAGTCAAATTAGATAAGTTTAACTTAGAATAACACCAAAATAACTTATAATTTGGAATTGAAGGATAATAATAATTTGGACCACAACATCACATAATAGAAACTCCTAATAAACTCATAAACATATCTAGCCTATAAACAGGTGACAAAATCCGGTCAGGTTATTGCTTTACTGTGAAATGGAAAAAATACTCACAATACCAATTTGAGTTGTTGGATCAACGTTCAGTAGCTGGAAAAAGGATAAAAACCAGTCAGCCGATGAGAAGCAGACAGATTATACTTTACAAACGGACTTGGTAGCGCCTGGACGTCCGATCCAGGCGCTAGCATTTGGACGGTGCCCGAATAGGGAGAGAGCGAGCGCCTAGAGCGTCGGGCAAGCGAGTGACCGCACCAGCAGTGGGCCCGCTGAAAGGTCCTAATGGCTAGAGGGGGGTGAATAGCCTATTAAAAATTTCTACAACAACACTTAACAAACCGGTTAGACAAATATGAGGCGAAGCGAAAGTTGTGCTAGCCTACTAAAAATGTACCACAATTCTAGTGACTATGATCTCTAAAAACACAAATGCTATGTCACTACACTAAGTTAGTGTGCTCTCAAAGACTAACTAAAGAGCCACACTAATCACTAGACCCGACACAAGCTTGCTCTCAAAACTAATTACACTAAAGAGCGAAGCAACACTAGAAATGTAAATACAAGAGAGAAGATGTGATGATTATACCGCCATGTTGAGGAATTGAGCCAATCACAATCGATCACAATGAATACCAAGAAATTCACGGACAATGATGATACACGATTTTTTACCGAGGTTCACTTGCTTGCCGGCAAGCTAGTCCTCGTTGTGGCGATTCACTCACTTGGAGGTTTACACGCTAATTGGCATCACACGTCAAACCCGCAACCGGATGCCGCACAACCAACACAAGATGAGGATCACACAAGCCACGAGCAATCCACTAGAGTATCTTTTGGCTCTCCGCCGAGAAAATATCAAGAACCCCTCACAATCATCACGATCGTAGCCGTAGACAAGCACCTTCCTCCGCTCGATGATCCTCGCCGCACCAAGCTGTCTAGGTGGTGACAACCACCAAGAGTAACAAGCGAAATCCACAGCGAAACACGAACACCAAGTGCCTCTAGATGCAATCACTCAAGCAATACACTTGGATTCACTCCCAATCTAATAAAGATAATGAATCTATGGAGATGAGTGGGAGGGCTTTGGCTAAGCTCACAAGGTTGCTATGTCAATGAACATGGCCAAGAGAGTGAGCTTGAGCTGGCCAAGAGGCTTAAATAGGAGCCCCCACGAAATAGAGCTGTTGGGCTCCTCACTGCACACTTCTCGGGGTGACCGGACGCACTAGTCGCGCTGACTGGATGCACAACTCCAACGTCCAGTCACTGCCAGCCGTCCATGTGTCCCCAAGCGTTCAACATCCACCACGAGATCCCAACGGTCAACTCAGACACCCGCATGGTTAAGTAACGATGGGACGCACCGTCATGGAGACCGGACGCGCCGATCCGTAGTCAGCCCCTACACGCGCGCCACAGCCACGCCATGACTGGACGCGCTGCTCCCCGTGAGAACCCGGTGTCAGGTCATTTCCAGTAAGCTCCCCAAGCGGCAAATTCATGACCGGACGCGTCAGGTGCACGCGACCGGACACGCCACCATGTTAGGTCTTCACCGCGCTCACTTAGCCGCTTACGTCACTGTACGTCGCCTATGATCAGACGCAGGCCCTGCTTGTCCAATCACAAACACTGTTCTACGTTCGGTCGCAGGACCATGGGCAGCCTTCACCGCAACACTGACCGAACATAGGGAGACTGAGTTCGGTCACTCCTGAGGCAGCGTCCGGTCACCCTGGGACAGCTCCTCCACTTCACCAACCTCTCTACCCTTGCTCAAATGTGCCAACCACCAAGTGTATCACCTTGTGTACGTGTGTTAGCATATTTTTACAAATATTTTCAAGGGTGTTAGCTCTCCACTAGATCCTAAATGCATATGCAATGAGTTAGAGCATCTAGTAGCACTTTGATACCTGCATTTCGATACGAGTTTTACCCCTCTTAATAGTACGGCTATTGATCCTAAATGTGATCACACTCTCTAAGTGTCTTGATCACCAAACCAAAAAGCTCCTATCAAGTTTCACCTTTGCCTTGAGCCTTTTGTTTTTCTCTTTCTTCTTTTCCAAGTCCAAGTACTTGATCATCATGACCATCACACCATCATCATGGTCTTCACCATTGCTCCATCACTTGGAATAGTTCTACCTATCTCATGATCACCTTGATAAACTAGGTTAGCACTTAGGGTTTCATCAATTCACCAAAACCAAACTAGAGCCTTCAATCTCCCCCTTTTTGGTAATTAATGACAACCCTTTCACAAAGATATGAATTGAAATTCAATTAAATCCATGTTGCTTGCCCAAGCATATTTACCATGTGTAAAAGGACATGGACAAGTTTCATGAACCCCAATGTGTAAGTGCAATCAAGCCCTATTGTGGGTTTTGGTATTGATGACCACCAAATTAGAGGACTAATGAGATTTATCGAGATGACAAGCAGGGAATCAAAGAATGAGGATGATGGATAGGTTGCAGGTGTTCTAATTACAAAAGGTGGCCAGACCTAGCTTAAGGGAGGTTTAAATTCTTTTATGTTTTGAATTTGAGTTTAGGAAAAGCCGTACTATCAAGAGGGATTTTAGGACAGTTGGTCAACTGTTGAATCAAATGCTCAAATTCATAGATTTACATCCTCCTACCTAGTCAAAACAGCCAGCCAAATTTCATATCATGTTACCTGTTTTGGCTAGGGCAGCAGTGCCGCCCTTAACTGACCGTTGGGCTCAGGGGGTATTTATACCCTTCAGGCCCGGCCCACAACGGTCATCTTCTCCACTGACTCACTCTACTAAAAAACAGACAGAACCAAAGCTCACCCCTCTCCTCCATTGTTGCTCCTCCATCCCTCAAGCTAATCCTTGATTCCAACCATCAAAACTTGAGAGAAAAGGCAGCAAAACTCGATTGAAGAGGAGATCCACTGATTCCCAAAGTCTAAGAGCATTTGGTTCATGTTTGGCCAGCGGTTCTAGGGTTTGTTACTCTTGGAGCTTGCTCCTAGCCGGCTAGGCATCGCCCTTGTGCTTG